CTATTTTGTTTATATTAATTTTAATTTCGATATTATTTAGTTACAAAATAAATTAAAAATATAAAATAAAGAAAAATGTATATATATATACACTTCTTTCTTCTTTTTATAGCTTAAATTAAAACAATTATTAAAAGACCATATTTTATTTTACAATAAAAATTTTATTAGTATTTTAAATCTATACTATATATTAACAAAAATGAGATTTATAATTAGAAGGGATGTGAGACCCCCACATGTTCAACATGAATTTCAAAATTTTTGAATTATTGTAAAAGAAAAAAAAGACACGTCTTAAAATGATTGATTGATTAAATTTTAATATAATTAATATCACTAATTTTTGTTCCTAAATCATCTTTTTCAAATGTTCAAATAGATACTTTAACTTTTTAAATTTATATTCTTAAATTAACTCGTAAATATTTTTAAACAGTAGAAGATTTATATTACAAAATCATATTAATATTTCAGTATTTTTGATTTTTTTTTTTTAAATTAGGAGCTTTCAAATGTTTGGTTTTCATTTAATATTTTTAGCGCAACATAAATTTCTTAACAACCCATCAATAATGGTGGTATTAAAATATTTATAATTACACATATGGTATGATAGTAGTGGTGGTAGTGGTAGCGATGGTAGTAACATGGTGGTGGCATAATTACATATATGGTGTGGCGATGATGGTATGATGGTGGTAGTGGTAGTGGTAGCGGTAGTGGTAGCGGTAGCAGTAGTAATGGCATAGTGGTGGTGGTAGCATTGATGGTATTTGTAGTGATGGTAGCGGTAACATTGATGGTGGCGGTGGCATGGTAGCATTGATGGTAATGATGATGGTGGTGGTGGTAGTGGTGGCGGTAGCGATAATAATGGTAGTAAAATGATAGTGGTACTTATGGCAACAATGACAGTAACAATGAAGATAACGGTAGTAGTGGTGGTGGCGACGATGAAGGCGACGATGTTAGTGGTTGTAGCAGTATCATGGTGGTGATACTGGTTGCGGCAGTGATGGTGGTGATGGAAGCGGTAGTGGTGTCATGATGTTGGTAGCGAGTTCATAATAGTGTTTATATTTAGTATTTATAAATTCAATTAGAAGTTAGTTTCATATAATTTTAATTTTTCTTAAGTTTTAGCCTACATTTTAAACAGTACTTAAATTTTTAAGTGATATTAATTATTGTTATCAAATAAGCTTAATTAATTATCACTTAATACATTTAATTTTCAGTACTGAATTAGATTATCCAACACCTCCTAAAATAATGCTTTAATAATTAGGTTAGAGCTAAATTTGAGACACCCCAAAATTTTTGGAACATCATAAGAATTTAAACAATAAAATAACTTATTAAATTAAAATTTTAACATCTTACGAGGAAAATTTAAATTTCTCACATAGTTAAGAGTTTAACAACACTAAATAGATTAAAAAAAATTAAAAGTCCACATACAACTTTAAATAACATCATAGCATCCTAATACATAAGATAGTAAAAGTTTATTTTGCTAAAGTCTTGACTTCAAGTTAGCCAATGTTCTATATTAGCAACAGTTTCAATTTCAGCTTCCATTTCTTCCTCGTCAAAATCTGGCATAAAATGCCAGAGCAACAAAAATATATGTCATAAGTTTTACAACACAGTAAGAAAACATAACCGACCTACCATTCTTTTTAAGAGAAAATAATCAAATTAATAATCATGACAAATAAGAGGAAATGACGGAATTAATAGCATAATAATATATTAACAATTAAAATAATTTCAACAATTTTAATAGTTTAGGTGACACTCAAAATCTCATCAAAGAGATTTTCTTACCAACCATTAAGCTATGGCCATGGTTAATTTGAAAACCCCCCTTTGGTCGAATATTTAAGAACTGCCAAGGATGCCCACGCCCAGAGTTATATACCCAAGCTGTGACATCTGTGGTCTACTCCAAGGGAACGGTCTGTCAGTGGTATGCAACCTCCCTACGTGCCACCCGTACATCCACCCTTATCTCAAAACAGAATATCGATAAGGGTTCAAATAAGTCTCATGCCATATTAAGGTTTCACGACACAATTATGGAAAAATTATCAAAAATCAAGGCTCACCTTTAACTACCGGTATTAACCCTTAATCATTAATTTTGTACGTGCCGTTAATCATTTTAGTTAGTTTTTATATTAATCACCAATAATAACAATTTTTAATTACCGTAAGTGTTATACTATTTCATTAAAATTCACAACATAAAATATTACACATGTTATACAATAATCAATCAATGTACAAAATTAGAATAAACACTTAACTTAAACCATGGTATGAAATGATAATTTTACATACTTAAAAGTGAACCATAATCACATACATGCATGGACTACTAATTTACAAGATTTAATTAATTAGACCAGCACAATATATAATTTTAGTCCAAATAAATAATTGAAGTAATAATCTTGGTTCATTCTCTGCCCAGAAATTTTCAGAATATACCTTTTGTAATTAAAATGATAAATAAATTATTTATACAATTCTAAAATTCATGAGAATCTATAGAATATTCAATAAATATGTTATGGTCATTTTTCAGAAAGCTTTTCCCAAAAATAATTTATAAATAATTTTGTGAAATTCCAAGAAATTTTATAACACAGATTTATCACATTTTCTTAAATTAATTCCATACTTAAATTTATAAATAAATTCCATAATCTAAAAATTTATTATGAAACTAGACTTCTCAAATTTCATTTTTTATTTAGAAATTACCAGATTTGGTTGAATATAGGATTTTTAATGATTTTCCAAACATATAGTAAAATCTGTCTATAGTTCCAAATTTAGTTAACTTTTTTTTATGAATTCGTACAAAACCCAAATAATTGTTACAAAAATTTCTAAATGAACTAGGCATTATTCTCAACAACTTTTTAGTAGAAATCATCTCAAAATTTTGAATATAAAATTGTCTAAAAATTCATACAACCTTCTGAAAGATTTAATAGTTATATAATCAAGCCAAATAAAATTTTCAATCATTTCTTTAATGGCACAAACTACACATGCAAGTCAAATTCCACAATTATATCATGATTTTAAGGCTACTAATAAAGCTAACCTTCAAATATTTAATATACAAATCACACATTTACATATGACTATAAACAAGATTTTATTTAAATTTTTGCTATAAACACAATTTTGAAATTTTAACAATTAAAAAGAATGAGAGGGATGAGAGGGTTTTCTTACTTAATAATAGGATTTCCTCCGATCAGTTTGAGCAAGAAATGTAAACTATATGTATGCATACATGGACTCCTCACCTGTGGCTCTCTCTCCCTCTCTTCTAATCATTTATTGAGTCAAGTTGAATTTTCTAAATCCAAGAGATGTAATGAGGGCCAATATCCTACAATAACATGCATGTACACAAATGTCACCCAACACTGCCATTGAAAATCTGATTGATTTTATTTATTTATTTTGTGTATTTGTGTGGGTTTCTTAAAATTAATTAACTAAGGTTTTTAACTAAGGTATTTAATAAAGATAATTATTATGTTGAATCCTTATTCAAATAAATTATAAACAATAAATATTGAATACCCACAAAATTATTTTTTCTTAACAATGTTTTTTTTTTTTTTTGGGTTGTGGATTAATTTAGAACTAACTTATACACTAATATATATTAGATAGACTCTGGATAAAATTTATTTATTTATTTATTTTCTTCTAAGAATAATTAAATGTGAATTCTTACAAAATTAGTATAAAAGTTGATTTGATTGAATTCTATGGTATGTCTAACTCAACTCTAATTTCAAAATCCAACTATTGTCCTTTCTTACATGAAAGTTAAAATGGAAATTATACTTTTATACAATATGATTTAATATATTATTGGGCAAACTTTGACATAGGATAAACTAAAATTGAAAAACTTATAGAACATAATATATATATTTATTTCATTATAAATGTAATTTTTTTAATTTATTCTATTTTTTTTTCTAGTTCTATCAATTAAACTATGACATTTTCTAAACTCAACCAACCTGTAACAAACCCGCTCAACACATCCTATAACTCAAATACAAAGTAAGAAAGGATGTAACCTCAAGTAAAAATGATTAAAATTTAATTAATTCTAAATAGTTTGTTATATACATGTCAAATAAATTATATATTATTTTATTTTAAAATAAAATTTATTTATTAATTTAAATGGTACATAACAACACCATTAGTTTTTCAATAATTGAATAATCATTTTTTTATCCAAAAAAAGATACTCTGAGGTGTCATCACTGCATCTGTGAGCTCAGGTCCTGGTGCACAGAATTTGATCGGGGTAAAGAACGAGGTTTTCGTAGTGAACCATTAAAATTACCTAGTATTTCGCTCCCCAAGACTCTGGTCCTGGTGTCCAGGATTTGATCGGAATACAGAGCAACATTTCTCTCTCCCAAGAGTCAGGTCTTGGTGCTCAGAATTTGATCGGAATACAAAATGAGATCTCTTTAAAAAATTATTAAAATTACCTAACATTTGACTCTCCTAAAATCAAACTTGAATCACGCCGATAGAAATAGATGCTTTTTTTCACTAGGCCACCACTACGGTGGTAATTGAATAATCATTTACAACATAAAAAATTGCTCTTCAGCACCTGGGCTTGAGATGATTAAGCCTTCGTTTGGTAAACACATTGGGACTATATAAGCACATAAAGACAAAAAAAAGTTACAAAATCACAAAATGACAAAATACTTAACTTTTAATATAAAATTACTAAATTGACCCATATATAAATAAAAAGTAAAAAAAATATCATTTTTAAGTGGAGGCCATATTTGTCATTCTAATGCAAAAAAACTAAAAAAATCAAACAACAAAATCAAAGAAAAAAAAAAAATCTAAGATCGAAAAAATTAAAAAAGTAAAAATATCAAGTTTATCACACGACATGCCAAACTAGATGGGGTTGACACTCTTGCTCGTTGTTTGTACCAGCCGCGGTGAGTGGTAATAATTTGTGATGGAGGAATGGTGCACACCCAAATACGTGTTTCTCTCCCTCTCTCTCTCTCAAAAGTGGGCGTCTGGCTAAATCTTGTAGAACAGAAGCGAAGAGGGAAACTGGTTCCGTGGTTTGCCTTGCCGTTCCAATCCCTGCGGTCTAAGGTATTACTGCTTCGTATCCATCTCATAGTCTGCGTTTCACTGATTTGAATGTCGATTTTTATTTTATTTATTTATTTAGAAAGGATCACGCTAATGATATTTTCCCAACTATTAACTCTGCTGTAAAAATGTTGTGTCTTCTCTGTTTCTATGGCGGCTGTCTCAGTTTGAATCTCAATCTCAATCTCAATCTCAGTTCAGTGTTGATTGCTGCTTCTAGCATTCGTAAGTTGGTTGGGGGTATTATCGATAAATCATCTTCCAATTTCCTTTGTTTTGTTTTTTGATGGGGGGGAGCAATGTTGTGGATGGAGTTGGCTACTTGGGCTTCTGGTCATCGGGGCATCAAAATCGAGTGCGCCCTTTACCTTTTCAGAAGAAGAACACAAATTTCTTCCACACCGAAGGAGGAGGAGGAGGAGTAGGAGGAGGAGGAGACAAGCGTCTAAAGATTAAGCAGCAGCATCGGCAACAACAGCACACAGTACCCTCTCTGAGGAGGACGGTTTCGAATGGGTATGTTGGGACTGGGAGAAACAACTACATGAAAAGTAGTAATAACAACAACAGCAGCCGAATTTATGAAAGGTTGGAATCCTGTTTGGTCATCCCTCCGCCTACTGGTAAAAAGCCGCGTGCAATTGTCAAATTCCTGGGTGGCGCCTTTATTGGAGCAGTTCCTGAAGTTACATACAGGTGAGAAATTCTCTATTCAATTCCGAATGGATCCACCCTCATTTGCTTACTTTTTGATCTGATAATGAAATAGAAAAAAAATAAATAATACAACCCTGCCATGCTAAAAGATGTCCCATCGTATCACTCCAAGAGTTAGGTGGTCTTTTGGAGTGGTAGGAGAAGTTATTGAGTGCTCTTTGGGCATTGTCACCTGTTGCCCAACATGCAGAAAGGTGACGGCGGCAATGGATGATCAGTGCAAAGCAACGCTCAAGGAGCAATCAATATTCTTCCTTGGAGGTAGCTTGTGCTTTTGGTTTTCATGTTTAGTCCAATTGAGTCCACATGACCTTATTTACAAACTAAAGTCTAGCTCATTCTTATTTAACTAAAGAAGGAACTGGTGGCACATAATACTACAACTAATTTGTATTTTTCTACACATTAATTCTACTGCATCATGTTTATCCCTCTGGAGAAAAGGACTTCCTCAAGGTTTGGCAGTGACCAACGCTATTTAACTTCATGCTAAGATGTAGAGGAAGTGCTAACATACAGCGACACTCTACTCTATTGTTCAAAAACCCTTTTCCTTTGATTTGCATATTTGTGACTAGAGTATAAGGTGGGTATTGGCAATAGGCTCCAAATTAAGGTTGAGGAATATGACAAATAACAAGTGTCTACGCATTCAATGAACAGGAGCAGCCTGCGAATTCTTTTCAAGAGCTGGAAATATACACTAAACTTCTTCCTTCCTTCCTTCCCTTGGACAATCTTTCGCAGCAACTTGTTCTACTTAAAACTCTACCTATCGGACATGCTGCTCAACAAAATTCATTGGTGCTTACAAGTGGTGCAATGATAATTTCATTATTCCAAAACCCTTTTCCTCTGACCTGCATATTTGTGCGGTAGAGTAAAGGGGTGGGCATCGGTAATAGGTGGGCAAAAGGATATCATTCCCAAGAAGGTTGAGGAATATGACAAATGACAAGAGTCTCAATGTATTCATAAACAGGAGCAGCTTGAGAAGTCTTAGCAAGAGCTGGAAATTTGAACTAAACTTCTTCCTCGCTTCCCTTGGACAATCTTCAAGTTGGCAGCAACTTATTTTACTCAAAACTCTACCTATCAGCCATGGGGGCTTCAAAAACCTTTGAAGTTTCCGAAAATTTCATTGTTGGCTTTCAAGAGGTTGCAGAAGAGATTAAAAAATTGGTGGTATTCATGGTCTTCCGACAAGGTGTAAAATGTGCCATCTTGGAAAAATGATTCACTACAACCATTATTTAACAGGTGTTTTGAAAAGTGCACCTAAGTGAGGGCTTAGGCGATAAATGAGGTGAGGCTAGGCTAGGCCTTAGCGCCTTAAGTGGCCTAAGGGGAGGTGAGGCGAGGTGAGGTATTCACCTTAGGCTAAGGCAATGGCTGCTTTTTATTTTTTATTTTAAACAAATAGAAAAAATATGAATTTATCTGAACCATCTATTTTTCGAGTTGTAATAAGCATATGATGTTTTATGCATACTAGATCATAACTTCTCCTCCTCCATTGTTAGTTTATTCTCGTTGCAAGGTTCTCTCGCCACTGGTTGGCTCTTCCTCTGCTATTGATCATTTTGCTTCTGACAACTCTGGTCCTGAGGACTGTCGGTATCCCCTTCGCTACCATAAACAGGCAGTCAAACTTGATTTTGCTAAAATATGTTTTTCTTCTTCATACTGCCCCTTTTTGTCTGCTATTCATTCTTTTTCAGAATCTCACTCTTACAAGGAGGCCTCTCAGGATCATAATTGGGTTCCAGTTATGGAGGATGCGTTGTCTGCATTGACCCCGTTTGGTAGAGCTGTGGGAAAGTGATTATGGGCCCGTTTGGTAGAGCTGTGGAAAAGCGATTATAACTTATAGCCTAACAGCTTATAACTTATAGCTGTGAACATAAGCTGATTTTTGACTTATAAATTAAGCTTCTCCTCCCCCACTCAAAGAATAAGTTGATTTTTATCTTAAAAAAAGTTATAAACTGTATTATTAAGCTGAACCAAACACATCAAAATAGCTTAAATTAAGCTAAAAGCTGAAATAAGCTTGAAATAAGCCCTACCAAACAGGGCCTATAACTTATAGCCTAACAACTTATAACTTATAGCTGTGAACATAAGTTGATTTTTGACTTATAAATTAAGCTTCTCCTCCCCCACTCAAAGAATAAGTTGATTTTTGGCTTATAAAAAGTTATAAGCTGTATTGTTAAGTTGAACCAAACACATCAAAATAGCTTAAATTAAGTTAAAAGCTGAAATAAGCTGGAAATAAGCCCTACCAAACAGGGCCATTGCAGAGACTGCGACTTGGGAGTTGATTCCTTTACTTGCTGGCAAGAATCTGGTTAGTTACAAATGGGTCGATAAAGTTAAGACTCATTCTAATAGTTATCTCGAGTGCTACAAAGATGGCTTGGTTGCCAAAGGTTTCTCACAGGAGTATGGTATTGATTATGAGGAGACGTTTGCCCTTGTTGCTAAGATGACTACTGTCCGTACTTTGATTTCTGTCGTTGCTGTTTGTCATTGGTCTTTTTATCAAATGGATGTTAAAAATGCTTTTCTTAATGGCCATTTCACTGAGGAAGTTTGCATGTATTCTCTCCTGGACTTCCTTATTCCTCTCGATAGGTTTATCGTCTTCGGCGTGCTCTGTATGGTTTGAAGCAATCTCCATGTGTTTTGTATGACCTCTTTCAGACAGCTGTTACTCAGCTTGGGTTTCATCTTTGTGTCTCGGATTTTGCTTTGTTTCTCCTCCACACCTATGTTGGTTTTGTTGTCCTGTTACTTTATGTGGATGATATGATCATCACTGGTTCCGACTCTTCTGTTGTTTCTGAGGTTAAGCAACATCTCTTTTGCACCTTTGAAATGAAGAAGGATATGAGCTTTTTGCGGTATTTTCTTGGTATTAAGGTTGTCTATTCTCCCAAGGGATATTTTCTCTCTCAAGCCAAGTATGCTAGTGAGGCTGTTCACCGTGAGCTTTCTGATACCCCCATTGAGCTTAATGTGAAGCTTAACACTGCTGATTGTGTCCCTCTAGATGATCTTATTTTATATCGCGAGTTTGTGGGTTATTTGGTTTACTTGACTGTCACTCACTTTGATCTTGACTATGTTGTTCATGTGATTAGTCAGTTCGTTTTTGCTTCTCGTTCCACACATTAGGCTGCATTGGTTCAGATTCTTTGCTATCTCGGAGGTACTATCTTTCAGGGCTCGCTCTTGTCTTCTACCTCTTCCTTGGACTTGGTGGCCTATGCTGATTCTGATTGAGCTGGTGATGTTAATGATCACCAGTCCACTTTTGGTTTCTGTATGTTTCTTGGCGATTTCGTGATTTCTTGGAAAAGCAAGAAACAACTATTGTTGTCTGTTCTACTGCCGAAGCTAAGTATTGTGCTATGGCTCATGCTGCTGTTGAAATTATCTGGTTTCGTCGTCTCTTATCTGATTTGGGCGTTCCTCAGTACTCTCAGACCTCTCTCTATTGTGACGACCAAGTGTTATTCAGATTGTCCATAACATTGTCTTTCATGAACAGACGAAGCACATTGAGATTGATCATCACTTGTTCCGTTTGCATTTGCAGTCTAGCTCTATCTCGCTTCCTTTTGTTACTTTGACTCAGCAACTTGTTGACTTCTTTACCAAGACTCACACCACTATTCGGTTTCAGTTTTTTCTTAACAAACTCTCAGTGTTTTCTACTAAAACACCTTGAGTTTGAGCGGGGTATGAGAATATATTGTATATATTTTATATTTGGCATATTTTTGATTGTAAATATATTAGGCTTGATTTAGGCATGATTGTAATTACGTTATATCAGGTATTATGATTATGTAATCTTATTTTTCCTTTTTGATTTCGGAGTTAGGGTTATTTATATTGAGATCTTGATGTAATCAAACACAACTGAATATACAGATTATTCATTTAGAAATCTTATAGCCTCGCCATGCGCTTAGGCCTTAGGAGGCCTTATTACCTTTGGTTCGCTTTTTGCCCTAAAAAACACTGGATTAAATCATTTTTCTTTGTGTATATGGCAGGCCCAACACAAAATCCATGCCAAGGACCACATTAGGCACCGAAAAAGGCAAGTATAAACCTGTGTTTGTTGATATTCCTTACTCCTTTGACCAAGGTTCTGAAAAGCGGTTGCGGTCGCCGTAACGGTAGCGGTGGCGCGGTTGCAGTTGCGGGGTGTAAAGGCCGTAGTGTAACGGTTGCGGTAACTGAAATTGTGAATTTTTTTATCTGTCGTACAATTTGAAAAAAATTTATCGATACGCACATTTTTTTTCCATGATTATATTTATTGGGTTTTAAAATAAATATTGATCAATTTTTATAAATTTTTAAGGGTTGGTTTGGGGTGTCCTAAAAAAGTGCACTTTTTGTCTTTTTACGAAAAGATGTGCAGAAAAGTAGAGAGGTAATGTGATGGAAAAAAGATAAAAAGATAAAAAGATGGATTATATAGTCTATGCCAAACCAGCCCTAAGTTTAATCCAATATATTTCATATTTTTAAATAACTATAAACTGAGTTTTTTACATTTTATTTTAATAATTAATGATTTTATATTATACAAAAAATTAATCACTAACTATTATATATAAGATGAACAATGACAAAAGTAAGAGAATAAATAAAAGCCTAAATATATATATATATATATATTAATCAAGCCAAATAGATAATGACCACACTTATTATTATTGTTATTATTTTCAAACAATATATAAATAGACACACACAAACAAAATAGTTGAATGATAGCAGCTGAATAGAATAGCATAGGTCTTATAATTTCAACAAATCAATAACATGTTCTTCATCTTCCCTATTCTCTCTCTCTCTATCTCTTGTTCCTCCATCTTCCCTCTTCTCTCTCTATCTCTCTTCCCCATTTTTTAACTTTTTTTTTTTTGTATGTTTTTTCAAAAGAAGCAATT